TCTCAAGGCGTCGGCCTGTTTGGCCAATATAAACGCAAGGGCAACCAGCACAGAGGTGTTGTTAATGTGAAAAGAATAAATGAAAAACATCAGATGAACGAAGGGGCATCTGTGCCGATGGCACTTCAGCTAATTCTCCACCATAGACAACCTCATCAATATACATCGGTAAGACCCTGACATAGGAAATTCTCGGAAAGAGAGATGAACTTACGCTGAAGTCCTGGAAGGGTCAGCAGTTCCCTGTTCTTCGGTTAGTCGTAGCAACAACCCTTTCAGAAAACGTTAGCCTACCTCTATTCTCTACTGAAATAAATATATCATATAGTTTCTAATTTCGCGTCTTATCTTTGATTTTGCCAGAGCTCGCTCAATTTCGTGGTGTAGTAGGCCGCAAATGTGGGCAAAATAATAAGATATTCTTTTTGAATGGAATCACTCCTACAGTCATCCCTGAGTTCCCATAAGGCTCTTAAGTAAACTTCGCTCATAAAATACTTAACCAATCTTTTATTTTCACAAAGAGTCCCTTCGACGCTGTAAGATGGCGGCGGCATTTTCTTTGACAAAAGCTGTGCCCGGACCTTCTTGGCAGACCTGTAGGGGTGCGGTCTAAGTCGGCGGTGAGAGCACATAAATTGCGGTACTTGATAAGTCGTACTTGTAAACTTTGCAAGAAGCCCCCGCGCATGGAGCGTGTATTCAAATCCACGCCCTACATCAGCTGATGCAGAATTTTGCCAGTAGTTTTCCACAGGTTTTAGCTAAAAGTGCATTTCGGGCATCAATCTGAGTTTATATTTATGGCCTGCTTAATGTCAGTTAACGTCGCAGTTTGCATATGCTCACTCGTGAAAGTTAATCATAAAAGGAAAATATCTGCAAAAAGGTTTGGGCTAGCCGAGGCACGCTTCACCAAACCCAAACTGCAGATTTAGTTTGCGTAAGTCTGATGACTGCGAATGCGAAGAGTCAACCTGAAGTACATGTGAAGTCTAGACCTTCGTAGCTTATCTTTAGAAATGATTGGTCTAATCTTGTGTTCAGGTAGGCGCCGCTTACCTCCTAGTACAGCTAATGAAAAGACCATCCAAGCTTCCATTTCCTTTGTCGTGACGAAGGTTTATCATTTGCATTCCCACTAAAATGTGTACTATGCTATTTTTGGAGGTTTTTTTCCCAGCAGTGGAAACAGCTGGCTTCGGTCGGTAGGTAATATAGTACCTTCTTTTCCATCAGTGCGACTTCCCAATATTTTATCTGAGATATTTCTTCTTAATTTCATCCAATTGTGAATCAGCCGCTGGCTTCGTTCTGTTGTGAATGGCATTTGTCTCGTCACCTTAAATACGAGGTCCCACCGACAACCAAGACTTTAATTATCATCGGGTCGATGTCCTCACATAGCCCACTGCAATGCATGATATTCATAAATGCATACTTCATTAGCTGACTACCCTAGCAGGAGTTGTTAAAGCATGTATCCAAAATCAATCAGCTGTCTACTCAACTCTTTAAATAATTGGATCCAATGAAGCACTATAAGATGCACAGCTATATATTAAATGGATGGTAATCGGTGGTTGCTCCTTAGCAAGTATGCTGTAATTCTTTAGCTCCGTGACTATTGCCACCCACAACATTCAAGCATGGCCATTAACAAGACCTTCTAGGGGGTTAACACTCAACGCTGTTGAAAAGTTGAAGTCATTCCATCATGGAAAGGATAGGATTGCAAAGAATAACGTATAGTTCATGGGCTCTGTATGACACTGTAGACAATGGTCAAAAAAGACAATAATGCGTTCGCAACTCTATTAACCTGACACCGAGTGCTAACCATTACTGACATATTGTTTATTTGCCTGACGTCTCCGATTCTGTCGCGAATCCTTCGTC